TAGGGGCATTGATTTGGTTTGCCATTTAAGACTAGTTATTGAGGTTTTATTTGTCGAGAGCCGGCAAACACTCTGAGATCAGTTGACAAACACTAATCAGTTATAAGATTACGTGACATTCAAACTAGAATTCAATGAAAAAATTCTGTGTCTTATATATACTTAACATTACTGTACTTTACTGTACGAAAGTGTGTATAAATAAATGATAACTATTTTAAAATCATTTTAAACAAAGCATACGATTTATGTATTCATGAGATTGACGTTAAGATATTATTCTTACGTTAAACCCTCTAATGTGGGAACATACATGTTTTTTTGCATATTCTAAAATTAACCAGATTATAATTTCCCTAATAGGTGAGTCAGTACTTTATCTTATTTTTATTAATAGTGTAACATGGCATAATGTGTGATTGCATTAATTAAAACTTAGTGTTTATTGAACTATACTTATCACAAACAATAATGAATTATTATTTGGATAATAGATTTTATTGCTAATTTTAAAAAAATATAATTTAAATGCAATTATTTGCTAAATTAAATTTTCGCTCATTTTAAATATATAGTAATTTTAATTGCACTTTTATCAGGATAAAACTTACAATTTTAATATAGTCAATATTCGGCTCACTTGATAAAAATGAATTATTTAATAATTTATACTGCAGAAATTACCTGTGTATAAATTAATTCTTTAAGTTCATATACTGGTACATACTATTAGCAATAAATGATATATTTTATTTTTGTTTTAAATTTTAATAATTTTACCATTTTGAAAATAATTTATAGCTAAATTGTTTCTAGGAATAATAATTTCTAAGAAAACTTTGCAATTAAAATGTTTAATATCATCAAAAATAATATATAAATACATTTGCCTAGTGTGTTTTTTAGCGAAAACACTTTAATTAACCATTAAATTGAAATACAAAATTCAAAACGCATTAGATTATTATTATATATAAATATTATAGTGCCGTAATTAGCTTTAACTGTAATATCAGTATTGGTGAACAAATTATTCATAGAAACAACAAAACAGTGATTATTAAAATTACTTTAAATATTTATCTCAATATCATTGGATATTAAAATTAAATAAACATTCAAATTCTAGTTTTAATATAAACTAAACTTAACTTTAAGTTTAAAGTTTATAATTATAAATTATAGCTTGTAATCTACAGGCCATAAAAAATTCAGTATAAATTATATCTAAATTAGATTTCTGTTAAATTAACTTTATCTTGAATCAATATATAAGATTTTTGAAAAAGGTAGCCTGCTATTTTAAATTTATAAGTTGTTTTAGATTTTCGAAATTAACCTGAATTTATTAATATACTATTAATATATTTATTAATAGTATGTTTTATAAATAGTATCTACAAAGAATATAAATTTATATACATGTATTGATATACTTTGTATAGGTTATATCATACTGTATAACAAATATGGTATTTTAATATAAATAAACTAATTTATAAAATTCTTTGTATAAAATAAAAATAGAAACGATTTGCCTGGCACATAATAATCGATATTTATCGATATAATAATATAATATAAATCACATATTAATAAAATACATAAATATATTTTTAGACATATAAAATATAAATCACACAAAAGAAATGTCCCGAAAATAGTTTGCTTAACTTTTATCGAGAGCACTTAACAAACATAATGTTCAATAGATTTTTAAAAATAAATTTTCTACAAACTCTATTTTGTAAAATAAATATTTACATTAAATTAGCATAAGTTGCGATAGAAAACCATTTCTACATTTCCCATATTTTATTTCCCATCGATAATCACAAAGATATAGCAAATGTATGAAAAAATGACAAAACAAGAGAGTTCATTAGAAGGGAATTAATTAAAAATTAACTTTTAAGTCGATTTTGAGACTGTTTTGCAACAAAAATCGATTTTTATCTCCAGAAACTATGGCACAAAATACAACAAAAATGGTGAAAATTTTATTTTCAATTCAATTACTGCATAATTAGTCTTTTGAAAACGAAGTCAATAGTCGGCTATCAGTTCAGAGATACGCAAGACATGCCTGTCAGGCAATCTTTACGCAATTGTTACTCTCGTTTGTCACACCAATAAAAATTTAATATATTAAATGATAGTAACAACAAAAAATTATTTCTCAACATATATTTCACAAAAAAACACACATCTCCGAGAGGCCAGTCAACTATCCTTTTCACACTTATAATGACCCCTCCGTTTGAATGCCTTTTCTATCCGAGCGTATAATGGCTTGAATATCATGGGATACCTAAACCTACAGTCGACTATAAAAATATATTTTTATCTCTCATATTAATATATAAATTATGGCTTATTTTCGTATCGATTATTCAAATTAATTTGACATTCAAACATACATGTAGTGTGTATTAACATAATTATGAAGTCGACTTTTAAAATTACCCCGAACACCTCACAAGGAAATTGTGTGTATTTCGCAATTATTTGCGCAAATATGTGACGAAACAGTACATCAAAAGTCATTATTTGAGTAGTTTTTTGTTTTTTTAATGACATTGACTTAGACTTCGTATAAATTTACTAATTGACATGAAGTGCAGGTAGTGTTCAGTCATTTCACAAATATATTTATGAATTATTTATGATTATTATAACTATTATTATGTTTCTCCCATTGATTCGCAATAATAACCTAATGTACTGTACTTTAGATAATTATTTAGTTTTTTAAACATACATTAATATTGAGCTAGCCAAATATGTTAGAGAAATATATTTATGTATATTTAGTGCAGAATTCATGATAAGAATATTATTTTTATTATTTTCGTAATGGAGTCAAGAATTTCATGTCATAAGCGTCTCTCTCGACGAGAAGACATGAATTAATATAAAAATAAAACTCATTTCGAAAAGCTTTTTGTATAAACAATATTTTTTCTCTCGACAAGATTTTGCAAAACAATTTTTTGCTATTTTTAAAAACATTAATTTTCAGGGTTAGTCAATTAAAATGCAAATATACTGATTGCATGTATATATGCCTCCGTATATACAGTACAGCGCGAGTGCGACATTCAAAACAACATTTAATGATTGGTATTAATAGTGTCGTACAGTCAGTCACTACAATATCGCTGGGTATCCAACGATTGCATAATAACTATTTCGCAATACCTTTGGATGCATAGACTTGTTATGCGAGAGAATAGCATTGGATTACTCGTCAACAAATTGCTTAGCAATGGGTGTCAATGCCATTGAATAGGAGAGTGTTAGTCGCTTATAGTGCGGACATCTATGACTGGGAATACAGCGAAAACTTTATGTTATATTTTAATGACTTTGACTCCGAAAAAGTGGATTCATTTGATGCAAACTAGCGATACGTTTCCGATTCAGTGATTAAACTTTTGCATTTTTTATGCAACGCTTTTGTGCGAGATTCAAATAAAAATTTCTCAAATGAAACAGATTTTGAGATTACTGAAATTAGTTTAACTCTAATAGACATAAGGCTTAAGAAATATGTGTAACATATATATCAAAGCCAACAGGTTTTGGACCATAAAATTGTATCCCATATGAGAGGATCCGCTCTAATATTCCTAACACTGCATAATATATGACATAATAATTGTGGACTTAGTTAACACCAGTAAAAAGGGATGACGTTTAGATTTTGTTTATAGTATTATAGTAATTGTAACGCAAAACGAAACTAAAACATTTTAAAAATTATATTCATATTATGATTATAAATTATTGTATAAAAAATAAAAATTCATTTGTTTGGTTAAGAGTTCAAAGTCAATAGACAGTGTAATTTGAAATGTGAAATTACAAGTGATTTATTGTATTGCTGTTTGTGTGAGTGGATGGGAAAACAAATAATACAAAAAACAAGATAAACACTAATATTAGGAATTGTTTGAGGAAAGTGTGAAATAAAATTTTCTATAAAAAACGCTATATTTTGCAATATATGTGTACAATATTCCCACCGTAAAAAAACATTACCGAAGTTGGCACTGGTACAATTACAAAGTTATGGTGATTATACAACTTTCATGTATGTGCTGGTTCTGTGCGTTGAGCACTGGTAGGCAACAGATGTATGTTTAGGCGCTTTTTCATAGCGCTGGTGTATTACAGCGCAAGTGAGCCACTCGTATAGTGACAGCTAATACACTAAACCACTGTATATTCTGGTGGAGACTGAAGTGTATATTCGTGTTCACTGTTCACAGCCAACAAAATATTAGTTATATTTTTCATACCATGAAATATATCCCATATTTTTAAATACCAATCACTCGTTCAATATATTCACTCCCGATGTCGAGAGCCATGATTTGAAGTGTGATACCAGACAAGACATCAGTTGATTGTGTGGTTCAACAAATTGTTTGCTTGTTAATTGAACTGCAATTGTGATGTGAATACTACACGATTGACACTATTTTGATGTGTCTCGGAGTCCACTGCTATTCATAGGCTCTCTCTATACAGTACTCTACCAATTGTTTCGCAATATTTTAATTTTTATTAGTTTCCCATTATTTCGATACTATTTTAATAGTTACTTGTTTTTTGTTACCATTATATTAATACCTCAATCAGTGCCCATAATATCGCATAATATTACACGTAATCATTATATGACTACAAATAAGTGTTTTGACAAAATTTAATAATATATTATTGATTTAACTCACAATCGGTGCTCAAAACTAGTGATTAATAGTATGGTTGCCATTGAATGACACGAAATATATTGTCCACTATTTCGGCTCATAATACCCATTGATGTCTGAATGGTTGAGACAATTGTTTGCGTTTATATGCAGTGATCGGTTGATTGGTGCCAATGATGATGGCCTTCGCCACCGGAGACGACACTCACTCCAGTGACCACTGTATGGACCAAATGAAGGACATGTCTCAGAACCGGGACATCCGTAACATGAGGAATATGGCCGAAAAGCAGCGCCGGGACAAACTGAACGGCTACATAAACGACCTTGCTAACACGGTGCCCCTGGTCACTATGTCCGCCAAACGGCTCGACAAGACATCGGTGCTGCGGCTGTCGGCCGCTTACCTCAGACTCAATAAAAGTATAGATATTTTTCTTGCCTTCAATACCGTCGTGACACTTGTCTCTAATGTCTGTGCCTTTCATTTGTGTGCCATTTATAGCGGCCTTAAGTCTGAAGAAACGCAAGTCCAAGAAGTCGTGCCATCACTCGTCGGCCACCACCAGTGACCACCAGTTGTGGCGACCAAACAAGTTTCGGTTCAACCATTTGCGGGCTTTGATTGAAGTAAACGTCTCTTTCTTGTTATCTCAGAAAAGCCGTATTTTTCAGACACTTTTGACAATAACTTTTTTTTCCCTTAGAATACTTAATGCTTAATGACTTTTTCGCTTAAGTTTTTATTATCGCAATCATTGATTCACTTTTCTCTCTTGAATTTTTGAGCGATAATTGTCTGCTTAATGAATGTTAATTTAAAGCAATTTATTTTCATTGTATTTTGTGTGCTTGGTCATGTAGTCGGTCGAGGGCTTTATCGTGGTCACCACTGGACTCGGCAAGATCATTTACGTCTCCCATTCCGTCGAAAACTTTTTAGGCCATCAAAATGTGAGTCCCATTTTGCGCCATTGATTACCACTTTTTAAAGTAGATTATTACTGCCTTAATATTAATATTATTTTTATTACTACTGTATTGTAATCACTTACCGTATTATATTATACGATACGACCATTTGTTTGTCTATCAATTTATCATTTCAATCGGTTTTTCCCTAATAAACCCTCTAATCCTTTACTATTGCGTAAACTATTGGTTGAAATCATTAAATATTATATTTTATATATACGATAATTACATTTTTATGTATAATTCTCATCCAATTGGATATAAACTTGAAATTTTGAGATAACATTTATTATCCTTTTGTAACCGAAGGCATGAATTTAGAAAATCCTTGATTTCGTTATGTATTTCTTTATTTCATGAATTGTTCAGTAAATGAGTTTAAATTAAATGTTTAAAATACATATAAATTTATATAAATTGCAAAAAAATTTAGAATTTGATGTCATTTGCTGCTTGTGTTAATAGTTTACCACTTTTTCTAATAACTTTTTGACTTTAAATTGGGTTTTTATATCCAGTTTTATATCCAGATTTATACCATTCACTGAAAATACTATTTTATGAACATATAAAATGCTAATAATTAGTATTAAGTAATTATTACTTCTCGATTGACGCGAATATATTTTTTCTATGGATTTTGAATTGCCATTAAATAATTGAAATGTACATTTCACACCAAAAAACTTGAAAACCATTTGAAATAAGTGCAAAGATCATATTAAATTGAATAGCGTAATTGTTTAGCTATAAAAATAGTTCAAAAAGGTTTAAATTGATGTTTTAATATAATAATGTCCATTAAGTTCATTATTTTCTATTAATTTCAAAATTAAGTGATTGGTAATGATTCCTAAATCATTTCATATGATTTTAATGTTGCCATTAGTATTCATTATTTAATTTGTTAATATATTTCTAAGATTTTATCATTTCATAACCTGTTTTGTCAAAACATTTATCCCACAAACATCTTCAACAAAACTCGCTTTTAATGTTTAAATGACTTACATTTTATACATATTTCGCAATTTTTGACGATAAACGAAATTTAAAAGCATTTTCTATATAGAAAGTAAATTCTTGATCCCTTATTGTATCGAGATTAAACTCCATTAAAGTGTATGTCTGGCGATGACATTAGGCCTGTGTTTGTCATCCAAACTAAACTAAATGGTTGTTGTCATGCATTCAATGCAATCAAATCCATTACAAGTGCAGTTCGTTTTCAATATACAGTATTCAAATGTTTTGTTAATTCATTATCTCATTCCACTCAATAATTCTTGTGTGTGTTTTTACTCGTAAATATTATTTGTATCGATATATTATGTACACATTTCTAGTAGTTGAACGTATAGTATTAAATGCTGTAATAGTGTGAATGTGTGTTTTCTTGATGCACTTATTCTCGGTGTCTTTCACATAGAACTCAATAGTATTTTTATTCAAGGCCTCAAATTAAGTGTTTCTATGATCAAAAATAAAGTCTCAAAAATACTGAGTATATACGGTATATAATTTTATTTCTTGTTTTTTGTTGATAAGACGATTCAATTTTAGGGAATAAATTAATTTTTTGTGTTTCTCTCTCATTCTAATACACTTAATGTTTATATATTTGTTTTTATGTCATTTATTATATCAATAGTTAATGAAACTTTCAGTATTCTGTGTGCCATTCATTGTCTTTAACTCTAAAAATACTGAAACATTTTTATTATGAAATATCGAAATGATTTCATATACGAAATGCTTTTTATATTAGGTTAGCGTCCACTTCCTGACCGGCAAACCATTACTTCAGTGAAAAAAGTAGTTTTAATGTAAACCATTAATCATTTGATAATATTTACGAGATTTTCCACAAAGACAATGGCAATCATAACAATTGTTATATTGTATTTATTTTTGGCACTATTGATGCCATTAACAAAGATTTGTGAAAACGATAAGCAAATTAAAATACATCTCTGTATTTCCCTGTTTGAAATTAGTTGCCAATTAGTTATAACATTTGTTTAGATATAAAATACATTGTTTCGCAAATGATTTAACCCATTATTTTCCTCAAATCTGGATTCAATTTGAAGGTTATTCTGTTGACAACATGTAGTTTTGTTCACTTGTTTCTCAATCTTAATGATTCAAACAGTGGAAAATTTTTTCAAATTACTGTATATATTATATATTTTATTTCTTCCCTTAATAACGATATTAAACACAGAGAACTTGTTTGACACCAGTTTCTAATATAGTTGATAAAAATATAATATTATAAATATTGCCACTAATCACTCTATGGGTTTGATTAATTATTTTTTATTACAATAATTGCTTAATTGTATTTGAATTTTAGCGCTTATTGTGCAATAATTTGATTAATTTGTAGTTTAATAGTAAACTAATTTTAATAGTAATAAATTAATAAGGAAAATAATTAACTCAGACCATTAGTATTGATTTTTTGTTATTTAGTAATATTTATCTGAATTGAATGTAATTTTTCTATAACTACTGTATTAGTCGTTTTTTGAGTGTTTGTTCAGAAGTCTCGATAATTAATGAATAATAATAGCCATTTGATAATCATTTTGGTAAATAAAGTCCTGTTTATCTGACATTATATATGAGTTTATAGGAAATTAACTGTTTATAGCGTTAATGAAACGTGATTTGAGTCGAAGGAGATTCGTGTAAAAGACATGAGAAAAAATAAAAATAAAATTTTAACTCTTAGTACTGTTTATGAAATTAGATAATTGACTCGAGTTCTACCCATATATGTCATGCCATAGTGAACTGGACTTTGTTTTCGTACTTTTAATACTCAATAATAAAAATAAGTTATAGACATATATGAAGACATTGACCGAATGTCTTATTTATAAGAAGTTTATTATTTTCCAAATATAAGCTATATTTTTATCCTTTCGTACAAATCCAATAGTTATATGTATAGTAATTGATGTCAAAAAGCATTTCAAAAATCTCATTGTTTGCTTTAAATGATTGGCAAATAGCATACAGAATCGATGCAATGAATTGTGATTTTAAAATCTAAATTGGAGTTAATCTCCAGAAGTGTTGCTTAGAAACTATTTTTGAAAATCTATAGTCGAGTGCATTCACATAAGACTTTTTCAAAAAAAAGTTAAATTGTATTTTCTCTGATGTATATATTTTTTAACAATACGAGTAGTTCATTATTGTTAACCATTTTTTGCTAACTCCTAATCGCACCGGCATTCTGGTCACTCATACGTATCGAGTGATTTGCTTTTTTCAAAGTAATTATTTCCCATTTTCTGAATATTTTTCTGTGATTTACTTATAAATTCAAACGATTTATTCAAATTGGTTGTTGACTTTGTATAGATTTTTAGTGGTACAGTAGTTAAATAAATACCATACAGTTGTTGATGAGATGTAAATTTAAATCTACAACTAATCAATAGTTTTTGGTTTAAAAAAACATGATATGATTTTAGAAATCGTTTTAAAATATCTCCACTTTTTTGGCACATCCTTTGAACACATTTACCAACTTTTAATAAAACATTTAAACGCATGAATGAAATGGTTGATAAGCGTTTTGAATCATACATATTATTGAGTTTTATGATAGCATTTCTGTACAAATATAAAAGATATATTTCTGATAAAACCTTTGAAACACTGTGTGTTTTTAAATATTATATATACAATTCTGCGATGAATATAATTATATTTATTGCTAATTCATTGCACACATAAATAACTCCCTTTTCTCTGTGCCAGTACGATTTTGCTCAATTAAATAAGTTTTTATAGTTTAATTTATGTCTTAAATACTACACTCAAAGCCATAGAGATTTCGATATAATTATCACTTTTATGATATTTACTTTGTTTAATATCATACCCTTAGTATGCGTTTATGTTTTATGCTGCATAATATTTAAAATATCATATTCATATTAAATAACATTTAAATAGTTATAATTATGTAATTATTATCTTGTTATGCGTTTTTAAATTTTAACTAATTTTGTGTAAATCTCAATAATATTTTGTACATTTTGTTAAATATATAAGTTTTGAAAAACAAATTTGCTTTCAATATATTATATTATAATATTCCTGTTTGTTAGACTACTTAATCAGTTTAATAAATGTATGTTTTTATTAAGGGAGGTATATATATATATTTGTTATTCTAATTAATTAAAGATAAATATTGATAATATTTTTTAATGAAATTCAAACATTCACTAAACTATAACAGAAGTGAACACCACTTTGTCTTCAATACTTTTAGACCGAAAATCCGTGATTTCAATGCGTTTTCAGGACTTAATTTATTCAGAGTCTTGTCATTTGCAGACTATATGGACACGAGTATAGCGAAGGAAAAAAAATCATCAATTTTTCTTCGTTATAATTATTACTGTTTATAGTTTACATTTGAGGCAACATTTAAATTGAGATAATTTGTCGTTAATGAGCAGTAATTGTGTTTTTAATGTCCAATAGATAGGCTGTAATATGTAGTTATTGGGCGACCACTACCTGCGCTCATAACATACCAGTGATGCTCTCGTTTGTCATCATTTCAATGGTCTAAATAGTCTCGTAATAAATGATATGTCTTTGCATTCATTAGTGTCTCACTTGTATGGATGGCTCTCTGATTGCGATCATTTCAATTAAAACCGATTTTCTCCTATTCTGTGCAAACAATCCTTAACTCTAATACGAGTTTAATGATTGCAAACGAGTTGTATAGCTAACGATTAGCGACTGGTCTTACATTACCATTAAATACCATTCATTAAAAAATTACATCCAAATAGACATCTCATGTCCCACGCGTTCTTCACTTTTCAATTTATTTAATTTTTTTGATTTTGATATTTGACTCGTATTTTGAAACCCGATATATTGTATAATATTTTTCTATAATTTTCTATTATCTAAACGCTGGCAACCGATAATTGAATTTTTCAACAAATATTATGTTTCGGAATAAGATTTCACAAATGATTTACACATTATNTCGGAATAAGATTTCACAAATGATTTACACATTATTCTCTCTCTCTCTCTCTCTCTCTCTCTCTCTCTCTCTCTCTCTCTCTCTCTCATCAATGCATTACTGTCTAGAATATCATGAAATGTTATATGAGATATCAATTTAATTATTTTGATTACTAATTATGAAAATTAATTATATTATATAAATATATTTATAGTATTAATATTTGTTTACTTGCGATACAGTATAAGGAATTGTGTCTAATATTTGATATATTTGAAATAACAGATTGAAATGATTGGTTATTCCCTGACATCATTCCTGCACCCGAATGACGTTGACTTAGTCCAGACACAAATCCAAACGGCTCACCAACAAGTCTCCAAAGGTCTGTCCACTACTACATTGTCACAGATAAACAACTCTTATGTCAAAATAATATGATTGTCAGTATAATATACAGTATTGTAGTTGTAAATATTGCTATTATTTTTATATTGTTTAGTTATTTTACAATTTAATAAAAGTGCAGTCATTTAAAAATAAATATGCATTATTCTTTGAATCAAAACTTGAGAATATTATTTTGAAAATGGATATACCACGAACAAGGTCACTTTGTAAACTCAATCATTATTAAAGATGAATCTTATTGTCCGACAGGATCTCAAACCTCTGACAAGATATCATTTCAATGTCGTCTGCGTGAGAAGAATCAGCCCCGAAGTGAAGTGATAACGTACCAAATGGTTCAGGTGTCCGGACATATCACCAATTCTGCCAAA